TATATATATATATATAAACTGGCCTAATTCTCACTGAATTCTTATTATTGACAGAATCCCTGAAATAATAAACAAGAAAATTATAAAAGCATAGTCCAGCCAAATCAAACATCTGCTCTCCATTCAGGATGGCCATATTTAAATTCTGACACTGAAGATTCAGACAAATATATTCAGAGAAACGATTCTAGAATGCTTGCGGGATCCACTAATACGGTGTAATCATGCCCAATGTGCACATAGCACTAAACTAAATTTGTACTCTGGAGTCCTTGGGATTCTCTGAGCTTGGTCGTTTTCTTGCAGAACTTTCGTTACCCAGCTAAGTAACATCTTCAGTGCTGAACAAGAACACAATCAAACTCAGAGAACCCCAAGGACTCCACAGTTCAGCCCTGAGCTACATACAGTATATTCTCTTCTACTGGTAAATTTCTACTCTCCATTTCCTATTTCCAAAGACTTGATCTGTCAGGAGTTTCTCATGGGAAGAAATTCATCCCGTTATCTGTACAACAATATTATGTCTAGCTTATGTAGCTCATGTAAACAAAACAACTTGTGACTGTGTGTGGTAGACGTATACTGCTAATTACTCCCAGCCTTGTAGTTGCAGTTGCAGTAGAGCGTTAGCCACTATGTAGGTATGTAGTTTTATGGGTTATGTAGTTGTCCCAGCCTTGTAGTTGCAGTTGCAGTAGAGCGTTAGCCACTATGTAGGTATGTAGTTTTATGGGTTATGTAGTTGTCCCAGCCTTGTAGTTGCAGTTGCAGTAGAGCGTTAGCCACTATGTAGGTATGTAGTTTTATGGGTTATGTAGTTGTCCCAGCCTTGTAGTTGCAGTTGCAGTAGAGCGTTAGCCACTATGTAGGTATGTAGTTTTATGGGTTATGTAGTTGTCCCAGCCTTGTAGTTGCAGTTGCAGTAGAGCGTTAGCCACTATGTAGGTATGTAGTTTTATGGGTTATGTAGTTGTATTTTGTATACAACTTGTATTTTATGAAGTTTTGCATTTTTATCAATAAACAACCAGATAGTATATATTTTCTGGCTGAGTTTCTTTGGAGAACAAGATATGGACATTTCAGTTTGCAAACCTATCATGCTGGTGTGTATTTTTTCCCTGGGAAAAGGTTTTCTGGGAGCACTGCTGTACTCTGCTCAATGTGATCCACCATATTACTTCTAATATACAGAAACAGGGTATAGATCTCAAGGGTAATAAGCCGATTTCATTGTTAAAAGCTGTTAAGAAGAATGTTTTAATTCTTTATTTAATGATCCCATTCTGATCTCAGGCTTCGACCTGGATGATACCATGAAAAATGACAACCGGTCCTGTCTGACCAAATTTTTCCTGTTAGGCTTCTCAGATTTCAAGACTATGCAAGAACTTCTGTTTTCTCTGGTTCTGAAATTCTACCACATGGCCTTGATGGGCAACAGCCTGGTTTTGATCCTCATCATTGCCAGTCCCTGCCTTCATACCCCTATGTACTTCTTTGTCTCAAACCTGTCCTTTTTGGAAATCAGCTACACTTCCTCCATCAGTCCTAAGTTGCTAGTGAATTTGTGATCAAAAAACTAGACGATATCTATTTGGGGCTGTGGATGTCAAATGTGTTTCTTTCTTCTAATTGGTATCACCAAGTGTTTTCTTCTTTGTGTCATGGCATATGACCACTATGTTGCTATCTGCAAACTCTTACAATACCCCTATATCATGAACTACAGCCAACGTGCTAAGCTAGCTGCCATCTCATGGGCCTTTGGGGTTTGGAGCAATCTGTTTCAATCTTCGCCCTTCACTTCTGTGGATCGCATACAATCAGCCATTTGTTCTGTGATCTTATGCCTCTTCTGAAACTGATGTCCATCAATAATTACAAAAATGATTATCTGGTCTCATCATAGCTTCCCTAGGAATTCAGGCATTGTCCATGTTACATTTTTGCAGACCTCAGGCAATCATCCACTTTATTTATGAGCAGCTTCTCCTTGTAGAGAAAACATCTTGCCTGCACCGTGTATCCTTCTCCCCCGCTTGAATGTGACCTTAGCACCCTTGTTGGTTATCCCTGTAGCATCCATGTATGTCTCCTGGTCATCTTCAGAATTCCCCGGAGAGGAAGGTAGAAGGTTCTCTCAGCCTATACTTTCCACTTCATTCTGGTCAACCTGAATTATGGGGCCATCATTATCATGTATGGGGTAACCAGAAATCAGTCACCAGGCTTCCAGAAAGCAATATAGCCTTAATGACATCGATGTCCTTGACAAATATCCCAAATCAGTGCACTCACCAATGAACTTCATGACTTAAAAATATTTGTCATTTGGGTTATCTCAAATAGTATGTTTTTCAACAGACTTTCCCCGTAGTTCTCAAGTGTCCTTTGTGGCTTATTTTTACAGATCAGACAATAAGATAATGAAGGGGAGTACTGCATGACTGGCCATCAGTGATACCAGCTCTTAACACTGGGACTTCTGCTTTCAAGAACAGAACGCTTCCAATTCTGGGGGTTACCAATAGGAGCTAAATTTTACTCTTCTGTTAGGTTCTGAACTTTGTTAACTTATCCACTCAGGAAAATGTTTTGTGGCTTCTTCCAGAAATAAAATGCTGGAAAATTTAATTCTTTTTAAATAAGTCAGTATTTATCATTTATTGATATATTGTCAGCAAACAGTCCAAAAAGTAATATCTATGTGTTCTAATCCTAACCTAACCTAACAAAATAAAAAAAAAAATAGGCGACGCAAATTTAAATATTAATTGAGGGTGTTCACAGCATAAAACAAAGCACCCATACAGGGTTCCACTAACATCCTGACCCTGGTGACTGAGGGAAGAGACACACCTCCAAAGTCTTCTGGAAGCCCAACAGGTCAGGGCAATCTGAATCTCGGGGGGGCTGTTTCATAGAGCAGGCCCAATGGCACAGGAAGCATGTCTCCGTTAGGTGTCATTGCTTTACAAAGGGACCTGGAATGCACACACCTTGTTAGGGTGGTGGCATGGGCAGTAACCACTGAAGGGAGGTGGTCCTGCCCTTGTCTAAGGCATCAGTGACCTTGAGCACTGCCTCCCAATCCTCTCATAGGTAAAAAATGTGCATAAAATGGATTTACGTAAACTCTCATACAAACAGCTGCCATCTCCTTCTAAAACCAAGAACCAGGAGTGATACAGACAACAGCAACCTCATCTCTCGGCATTTATGACCTCATAGAATTAAACTGATTTCATAAGTTAACAGCATGGGTTCAGGAGCCAGCAAAATTTATGGATAAATAATTTCCTTGGAGATTGAATTGGGTGATAGATTCACTTAAAATTTCCATTTCTATGGCCACCCATTCAAACAAGATTATGGGAGGCTTATTAGGATAAAACCAACAATCTGAATAGTTTAATTATGAAGAATTTATACTCATATTCCACTGTTTGAGATTGACATCATGTGAACATCAGACAGTATGGAAGAAATATGAGAGGAACTGAAATAAAGTGTCCCTTCTGTAGCTCAGAAGGAGATTAAAAGGGTGTTTGGCCCAATGATTTTCCATGTGGTTATTGATCACCATGACAGATAGAGTGCTCAGCAACAATATAAATTATTCCACAGGTAAGCATTACCTTTTGGACTACAATGCCTATAAAACTCAGTCAGCAGGAAAAATGGTCAGAGTCCTGGAAATGGAAACCAAAATATCCAGCATCTGAAGGCACTGCGTTTCCTAACTCTGCTGAAAGCAAGGCTTCCCCCAAGATCCAGGGGGTCCTCTTGGTATTCATTTACCAGATCCCCAGGGTGAATCCTCAGGCTTCTCTCAGGAGATCTTGTTAGAGAAGAGAGTCCTCTTGTCTCACCAGAATTTCTGTGCCTCTAGGAGTCAAGTGGCTTTAAAGCCTCCTTCATGGTCTCTCATGTTGGCTGATGCAAAACACCTACATATCTGAAATGCTTTTCTCCAGAAGAAGGGATTCATGAAGATTCTTCTGTAGCAGGAGCATCTACAAGACCTTG